TTCTCCACTTACTGTGTGATTTCTTCACCACTCCCAAGGCCTAAATTATCTGGAGTTCATCTCACATGGTAACCCCTGTTTTATGAGGGAACAGCCACAGAGTTTGCCTCATGTGTTGCCCTGGGGCCATTCTTACGGAATTAGACTCAGACTTGCATGTTTTATTTTATTTTACTTAGCAATTCACTTTGTTCTGTCTGTTACTACTTGATACCACTTAAATCCTACTTTCTGTAAAATCACTTTTTACTTATTAATTAACTCAGAGTATGTATTAATACCTGGGTGGGGGGGGGGGGACAAACAGCTGTGCATATCTCTCTATCAGTGTTATAGAGGGCAAACAATTTATGAGTTTACCGTGTATATGCTTTATACAGCGTAAAACAGATTTATTTGGGGTTTGGATCCCATTGGGAGTTGGGCATCTCAGTGTTAAAGACAGGAACACTTCTTAAGTTGCTTTCAGTTAAGTCTGCAGCTTTGGGGCACGTGGTTCAGACACTGGGTCTGTGTTGGATGAGATGGGCGTGTCTTGCTCAACAAGAGAGGGTGCTAGAGTCCCAAGCTGGCAGGGAAAGCAGGGGCATAAGTAGTCTTGGCACATCAGTTGACAACCCTAAGGGGGTTTCTGTGATCCAACCCATCACAACCAGAACACGGTATAGATGATAAAGAAGTTCAGGATTATAGTTTCTTTCCTTGTCTTTGGTTATCGAAAATGTAGCTTCAGTTCGTTGAACAAATCAAGAAACTTGTTCACACAGGATCCACCTTGTGTCAGAAAGCTGCAGTATCTTCTGGTGGTCTGGAAGTCATGGAAAGGCGGAGTGACATGGCTTCCAGGGGTGGGGGAGAGATCAGATGACAGTCAGAGAGAGGGATCTCAGCAATGGAGAAAGCAGTGCTTGGTGATGGAGTGATAAGACACTAAGTGTGAGGAACTTCTCATACTGTGAACTTCCGCAATGCTGAGCTCAGCCAAACGGGGACACAGCACCCTTGATTACGGAGGAGCTATTCTTTCCCCCTCTTGTCACACAGGTTTAAAGTTAGTGGTCCCAGGCGATCATAGTCTGCAGGGGCATTTGCCCACTTTGTCACGAAGCTCTTTGGTTTTGACTCCATAAATGATAGGGTTGAGCATGGGGGAGATGAGGACATAGAGGTTGGCCAAGATGATGTGAACATGGGGAGCGATGCCCTGACCAAACCTGTGTGTCAGAGTGGTGAAGAGGAAAGGAGTATAAGTTGTCAGCATCACACAGATGTGGGCTGTGCAGGTGTTGATGGCTTTCTGGTGGGCTTCCTTATGGGAGATTTTAAGGATGGCCCTGATGATCAGACCGTAGGAGAGGGAAATGAGCATCAGGTCTAACCCCATGACTACAAATGTTGTCACCAAGCCGTACGTCCTGTTGAGTGTGGTGTCCCCACATGACATTTTTGACACAGCCATGTGCTCACAGTACGTGTGGGGGATAATGTGATTGGCACAGAATGACAGCCTGTTTAGGAGAAGGGGAATTGGCAGAACGAGGAGAACAGCTCTCATCAAACCCATTAGCCCTAGCTTAGCTATCCGTGTATTGGTGAGGATGGTGGTATATCTCAGAGGGTTACATATGGCAACATAGCGATCAAAGGCCATTGTCACGAGGACGGCTGAGTGTGTCATAGACCCCGCATTCAGGAAGAACAACTGGGTGAGGCAGCCACCCACAGTAATGCCTTTCAAATTGAACCAAAATATACACAGTGCCTTTGGCACGACAGAGGTAGACATGGTGATGTCTGTGAATGCCAACATGCAGAGCAACAGATACATCGGCTTGTGCAGGGTTTGTTCTTTCCCTACAACATACAGAACCATGAAATTTCCCAATAGGCCAATAATATAGAACATAGAGAAAGGGATGGAAATCCAGATGTGGGCAGCTTCCAGGCCAGGAATACCCGTTAGGATGAATGTTGAAGGGTCAGAGGGGGTGAGGTTGAAAGCTGCCATGAGGTGGTGGATGTGTCAAACGGGCTCAGAAAGGCTCAAGGTATCTGTGGAGAGAGAGAAGCACAGTGAGGGGTGGTTACACAGTTTTAAAAAAATAATACAGTAAATATTTTATAGTTATAAGCAATATAGAAAGGGGGGTGAGCAATGAGTTGGTAACATTCAAATTCAAAACTGATAAAAACAAAATCCTTTCTTCACTCACTGCCTAATTAGACTGAGGAAGTCTTTGCCACAAGAGGTATTTGAGGCCATGAGGTAAGCAAGAATCACGATGGGGTTTGGCTATGTCCATGGATAGTGAGACTGTCCAGTAACCATTGTTACAGATAAATAAATAGTTTGGAAAGTCTATATGTCCACATGTTTGTGGGGAAAAGCTAATCTCTAGCTGTTAGGCAATTGGGGTGACACCCTCATGACAGTTTTCCTCCCATACAACTACGACTGGGTTTCTGCCACCTTGTTCTGCAGCACCTGAGGCTGTCACTGTCATAGAGAGAAGATACTTGACTAGATGGACCGTAGGTCTGTTCCACGGTGCAATTGCTATATTGTAAAGGAGCCAAGTTACCTTATGGAAACAGACATTATCCTGCTGGACTATGACTTTGTGCTAAACAGAATGGGCATGAAGGGCACATGGGACTTGGTTTTTAGGGCTACGGGTCTGCACCTCTGTTACATCCCTCATTTCTTTTGGTGAGACACTTGCTTGCAAACACCCAGATTGGCTGAGACATAAATTATAGGCGTTAACTGACATGAGTAAGCAGAGACATGTGTCAGCAACTCAGCTGCTAACCCTTCTCATGCCTGAATATTGACGATGACACGAAAATTGGGGGATCATAAATAATGAAGAGGACAGGTCAGTGACTCAGAGCAATCTGGATTGGTTAGAAACAATGTGTGTTCTAATATAGCTATGTAGATATCTGCATCTAGGAACAAAGAATGTAGGTGGTGCTAACAAGATGAGGACTATTGTGTAAGTGCAGTGAATCTGAATAAGCATTGGGGGCATGAAGGGGAAACTAACTAAACATGAGCTCCCATGTGTGTGACCCTGTGTCCAAAAGAGCAAATGTGATCCTGCGAGGATAACCAGGAGAATCTCAAGGAGAAATAGAGGAGTTATTTTACCTCTGTATTTGGCACTGGCGTAACTGCTGCTGGAATCCTGTGTCCAGTTCTGGTGTCCAGGATGAAAGATGGATGTTGATGCACTGAAGAGGGTTCAGAGAAGAGTGACAAGAATTAGTAAAAGATTAGAAAACCTGCCCTATAGAGATAGACTGGATAGCTCAATCTATAAGATGGTTAATGGGTGACTTGATAACAGTCTGTAAGTACATACACAGGGAACAAAGATTTAATCATATGCTTTTCAGGCTACCATGAAGAGGTGTAACAGAATTCAATAGCTGGAAGTTATGCAAATAACA